GGCAGCATTGGGTTGGGATGTTTTCGTGATGCACATTTTCTTTGCATAAAACTCTCTCTTATACGTGAGTTGCTGTGGATTTGTTTCTCCAAAGTACCTAGACTAATACAGAAGGGAAGAGGAAGAAAAAGAGCTATTTTATTTCTGAATCGTATAGGGCTGTATTATTAAAGGGTTGTCTAGGAAGCAACTTATTTAAACGAAAATTTAAATTTCAACCTTAATTATGAAGACTACCATTATCTTTCAGGGCACCGTACACAAGGCACTGGAAGTAAAGCAAGGCTGTTCCAGCTGCAGTTCTGCGGCCGTGACTCAGCGATAATGCTTCCTTACCGGCTAAAGGAGCACGGTCTGCTAGATGATACCCAAGCCCTTTACAGTTCAACTCAGACTGCCAGGAGATCAGTGAAGCTCAGTATTACAATCAGTACTAGATGATACCCAAGCCCTTTACAGTTCAACTCAGACTGCAAGGAGATCAGTGAAGCTCAGTATTACAATCAGTACTAGATGATACCTAAGTCTTTTACAGTTCAACTCTGACTGCCAGGAGATCAGTGAAGCTCAGTATTACAATCAGTACTAGATGATACCCACACCAAGCCCTTTACAGTTCAACTCAGACTGCAAGGAGATCAGTGAAGCTCAGTATTACAATCAGTCAATGTTTGTCAACTACAGGGCAATTAAAAATGAGTATTAACAGATTTTATCCATAAAATGCTGATTATAAGTTCTTGTAGGAACTTAAGACATTTTTCCTTTAAGACTTTTAATTATGGTATGTATATATGCCAGTCTTATTGCCAAATAGTTAAAAAATACTAAGAAAAAATAGCACCAGTTGACTCTTAGAAGACTTTATTTTTTTTAGATTAATTCCAATACTGACTTGCTCCAATATGGCATAAAACCTAGAATAATGACAGTCTATCTTAAGATCCATCCAAGTAATTTTAGTGCCAGACAAATCTTGTCATGACTGGGTCTTACCAAAACATTTAACATTTGGATTCAAGGCAGGGAACCACAGGTTCTAGTGTATTTTATCTTAGGTCAAAGGTCTTTGCAGTCTACTAAAATACTTTCTTCAATGACTGGTCATGACACTGATCCGTAAGAGAAGTTTGCTACATGCGTAAGGCACTGCTGTAGTGAGTGTTGGACATGTATGTGTGTGTTCAGGGCAGATACGGTTTTTGTTCTCACGGAACCTACATTCTAACGGGCTACAAGTGAAGAACAAACAAGCCTGGAAGTAAATTAAAAAAAGAAAAGAAAACACAAATTTCGGGACATGCTAAATGCTATGAACACAAGAAAATACAGTGAGACAAGCCACCAGGGTTCAGGGAAGGCTGGGAAGGAGTTACTTTATAGTCAGGTCTGGGCAGTGACTTTGCGATGCGACTGGAATGCTGAGCAGAGGAAGGGCTTTCCAGACTTGGCGGGGGGCCACAAAGTTCCTGGCAGAAACAGGGTGCTCTGTTAGAGAAGCAGGAAAATGATACAGGAACCCTAGACATATATAAATGGGGAGCCCTGTTGGCATAGTGGTCAGGTGTCCAGATGCTAACCACAAGGTCAGCAGTTTGAAACCACCAGCCACTCTCCCAGAGAAAGACGGGGCTTTCTACTCCAGTAAAGAGCGACAGTCTTGGAAACCCAGGGGGCAGTTTGACCCTGTCCTACAGGGTTGTGATGAGTTGGCATCGACTTGATAGAGAGTGTGGTTCTACAAGTTGTGAAGGAAGCAAGAGGGGGCACATTCCCCCAGACGGCAATTCTAAATGCATGGCTGAAAGAGTACTGACAAACTGACCATTTAATTTCGATCCACCCACACTTTCAATCTCAGCGGGAAAATGAAGGCAACTGTGTAAGGGTCGGTTTAACTTACTTTTGAGTTCAGGGCCACGGAAGTTTACACTCTGAACAAAGAACACTATTCCACAGTTAGAAAGAATACATTCTACTGATGGCTTCGATGTCCCTTTAAGTACAATTCTAATATGCACACTGACCATGGTAAAATTAGGGTAAGACTACCTAATCATTAGTCCAGTCCCTTCTATCAATATGAAAGCAACCTCAGATAGAGAAAGGGACCACCTAAAGAGAATTTTATATTGTTATACAGACTCACTATTGATTTGTTGTCAAGAGAAAGTGCACTCAGATTAAGTAGATGTGTCACAGTTCAAATGAAAGATTAAAAAGATTGTTACTTTAATGGCTACTAGCATTGTTTACTAAGATCTGAGAGAACAGTTCATGCAAGACAGTTGCTTTTCACTTCTTTGGGATAAAGAAACAAGAGGTGCATTTAATCAGTACAGTTTCTGAACCTTACTGCAATAAACCCCAAATGTAGCACAAAACCCCAAAGCAACAATTGAGCCGGTGTATGTTTAGGACATTTTTGTAGGTTATATTTGTATGCTTTGTTGCACACACATACACTCCCCCCCCCCCAAACAAAAATGGACTCGATGGCAGTGAGCTTGATTTTATAAGGGGGCAAGAGCTCTGGAGGCATGTGGGTTACACATTAGCAGTTAGCGGGCCAACAGTTAAAAAACACAACAATCTCTCCATTCTAGTGGTCTAAACTTTTACGTGAACTAAAGATGCTTGTTGCGTAGCGAACTTGATTATTATACATTTTGAGACAACTGTCTACTTCAACAGATCTTTGAAACTAACAGAACTACCGATCCTGAAGGGTCTGAGCGCCTGACCGTTGGGTGCTGCGTGGCTCCTTGGATGGAGACCTTCTAACCCCCCTGAACCACACTGCCTTGCTCGCCACAGCTGACTCACACTAACTAACTAAAAATAAACATCACCGCCCTTTTTTTTTTGGCTGGAGTAAAATGTACTGATTATGATATAAAGTTCTATCATGGCAAAACATCATTTAAACCTATCGTTGGCTTTTCAAATATGATCCTTAGAAAATTCCTGGAACATTTTTATTAATGTGTATAATTTTTTCTTTCCTCCAATGTATACTTATTGTGGATTTCCTCCTGTTTCTTTCTTTAGGAAGCAAAAAGAAGGCTAAAGGTTCTTTCTCATGCCTGTGTAGAAGAATCATCGTAAGCATTATTTGTAAGGCACATCATCCAAGGCTGTTCTTACAGTAGTGCAATTTGCCGACACGAAGAAAGGAGAGAAGCGAAGGAAACCCTCCACATGCTTCGGCTAGTTTCTCCTTTCAGAATCTTCCAGGGAGTACTGAAGAAAATGTAGTGCTCTGTAAAGTACTAACGATTTATTGACATTTCCTATGTAAAAAACGACTATCATTTTAATTTTGTTCTGAGAATGTACAGTCATCAGGGAGACATCAATGTGTTTCACATGAACATGCCCAGGACAAGCCTATTTAGGCTGATTTAAAACGTACTCACCTTAAAAAACTCCTTCTTTTCAACCATCTCATTGCCATCAGAATCCAGCATTTTAAAAGCAACATGAAACCCAGTGTGGGGTTCTGTAAAGAAGGGAGAGAGGAATAACCGTTTCATCTCGGTAAGTACAAATTACCTGCAATTATTCAAAGGTCTGTAGAGCTTGAAATGTGAAGCAAGCCATTAGCAAGTGCACAGTGCCCAACAGAGAAAACCGACCACGTCTCAAGGTGCCCATGTCCACAGGTGCTCAGGCCTGGTTCCCTGCTTTCTCCATCAAATCCTGCACGGTGCCACCACGTTCTGCTATGACATCAGCACAGGTAGTTTGAGAACTTAAATGATTTTTTTAGTTCTACCAGGGTTTTCCAAAACTTTTTATTTTGGAATGATTTCTGGCTTACAGAGATCATGTAAAGAAGGTAAAAAGAATTTCTGAAGCCATCCTCCAGGTCCCTGAATGTGAACATTTTCTCTAAGCATACCCCATTAGTCTAAACCAGGAA